CAGATTCCAAATGTCAGACAAACGGATCGTTGTTGTATTGTCAGCACGGCGCACATCGCGAGATGGCGGAGGGAGCGGAGGCGGCAGCACCGGGAGCAGAGCCTGCGCCTCCTGTGCTGATGGGCAAGGGTGCTGTCCTGCTGGACCAGCAGTGGTTGGAGGCACTGCGCCAAGAGGCAGCAGTTTCGTCTGTGCCCCGCCCTGAACCCGATCGGCAACGCTTGAAGACCGGCCTGGCCGTCGCAGCGGCAGTCTCTGCGGGTGCGCTGTATGACCGTCGCGCAAGCATGTTCATCCTCTTCCTGGCTGACCACCCTGACGCATTTACATGTTAGGCGCGGTGGCATTGCTGGCACCGTTTCTATTGTCGGCCTTGCGGCGGGGTACCCCACCCTATTTGCCAACCAGCGAGCAGCAGGCAAGTGCCGCTCTTGAAAGTGCAGCCCTTGGGGGGGTCCCAACGAACATGTGCCTCTTTATCCTAAAACCGATTCCCATTTGACCTGCTCATCCCGCACTGGACTTGCTTCCTTTTTCATACTTGTTGCAGCTGGGACACGTGCTCCATGCCGTCAAGGGACAGCGCGGGCCCGTCTTGGAGCTCGGCTCGGGTGATGGCCGTGTTTTAATAGAGGTATGGAGGCTGTCTGGCTTCCCATGTCCCGCGTCCCAATTCTTGCGCATTTGAACTTGAGCTTATTTGGCCACGTGACTGTACACAGCTGGCTCGCCAATACGGCTTGCAGGGCACGGGTGTGGAGATCAACCCGTGGCTGGTCTTGCTGGCCAAGTGAGTTCTGCCACTTATGAACCGATTCCCGTCACCGCACGCCGACTCATCCGATTCACGCATGCCCTTGGCTTCCCATGCGTATCTTGCCAGGTGGAATGCGAGGCGTGCCGGTGTTGGCCACTTGGTGAATTTTCAGCGCACCGACATGTGGCAACATCCCACCGCACCCTATGGCACCATCGTTGTTTTCGGTGTCCAAGAAATGGTTGGTCAACCAGCTCACCTCTCGTACCTTAACCCCAGCTCAAATCAGGCAAGGAAGGGTGTGGCTCTCAAGCCGTGGCGCTTGTCTATGCGATATTGCAATCTGATCTGGTTGTGTCCTTAGATGCCGCGGTTGGCTGACAAACTCCGGCATGATCGGCTGAAATCTGATGCCCTTATTGTCAGCTGTCAGTTTGCCCTTCCACAAGTCACCCCAGAGCACGTGTACAACCCCGGCTTGACTGCTGTTTATCGGTATAGCGGCGCAGCCTTTACACCCTTGTCCCCATCCGGAAAATCGTGACCAATCAGCTTGCCAAGACCCCCTTTGAGACCAGCACCCAAAGCTGGCGCCCGAGTTCAATCTTTTTCTTCCTCGTGTTTGATTATGTCCTGTCACAGTCCAAAACGTCCAAAACGTCCTTGTGCAAACCGAGATATAGTCTGCGCTTTGTCTGAGAATGCCGTACCCCACTTTGTATGTTTGCAGCGCTCTCCAGTCACCTCGAATTATGGTGTTTGTGTTCTACCTTTGCCTTTGTTTTTGCCTTTGCTCTTGCTCCTGCCCCTGCCTCAGTATCATCTCTTCTGGTCCCTTTCATTCTCTGTATTGGATCACAACCACCAGTGTACTCGTCAGACTCGCGTCTTCCCTCGCGCCCTAAAAGAGCTAAGAGAGAGAGAGAGAGAGAGAGAGAGAGAGAGAGAGAGAGAGAGAGAGAGAGAGAGAGAGAGAGAGAGAGAGAGAGAGAGAGAGAGAGAGAGAGAGAGAGAGAGAGACGTCAAGCCTGAATGTAAACTCTTCAATTTCATTTTTTAAATTAAAAAAAAAAATTCTCTCCCCCTCCCCTTCCACCTGACACAACCGACCGTAGTCATGTCGTTTGGGGTGGTGGTCTACGCGACCGTGCTGATCTCGTTTGCGACGTATTGCTGGCTCTTCAACGTCGCTGTCCACCCAGGTTTGGATTTGGCTGGGCCTGCCCGCGCTCACGAAGCGATTGATCTCATCTCACTCTGCCACTTCTGGGCTGGCTTGGTCGCATTGTGCTGTCGCCTCTGGTAGTGGCCACGCTCTTCATCACCGTTCTTGTGCTGCTGGCCTGGGTTTCCTATCTGGGCTACTTGCCTCGCACCATCACCAGCGGGGTTGCACGCTTCCTTCGGCTGCCCAAGGAAGTGACCCACCTGTTTGGCGCCAAGCGCCCCTTTAATTACAATGTCATTGATGACTTTATCATCGTCGGTCGCCTGCCACGCGACGTGGCCGACTACGAACACCTCATTCGCGTACGACGCCTGTTTCATCATCTCAACGTCGCTCGTGTGCCGCCGTCCCGGAGCAACTTCGTTCGTCCCGTGCCACATGAACCCTCCCCGCCCTGGCGCCTTACGCCTTGTCTTTCCCCCTCGCTTAGAAATTTCGCATCCTAGCAGTCGTGGACTGCACCGAGACATGGGAACATCTTGTCCCCATCAGTGCCGTGCGCGCCGCCACAAATCTTGACATTCTGTATGCTTAGCTTGGGCCATTCAGACACTACCTACTTGCCCTTCACAATCACTCAAAGGCTCAAGCAGCCGTTCTAGCCACCAGCGTCTCACTGCTCTGGCCCCACGTAGCAACATTCGTACCCCCGACTACGCCGCTGTTGATTGGGAGGACCTACTCAAGGCCATGGAGTTTATCCGCCAGTATGCGAGTGGCGGGTTAGTGGCCCATCCCACTGCTTTTGGTCTCTTCTCTTCTCTCCTTTGTCCGGTCTTCAAGATGAGACAGCATTCGACAGGGCGCCTCATCAACACACCATCATTGTCATTGCCCCCGTTGTCCTAGCCATCGCGTTTACGTGCACTGCAATGGTGGAAAAGGACGGGCAGCAACCATTGCCACGGCCTGGCTCATGTTACGAGAGCGCCTCGACCTCAAATCTGCGCTCAAAGCCGTCAAGAGCAAGCGCAACATTACAAACCTCGCCAAGTTTGGCGGACTTCTACCCGTTTGGCACCTGCTTCAACGCTATGAGCGCTTTCTCCTGAGCAAGGATGCCTAATCGACCTGATGGGATAGGAAACCAGATGTTTGTACGCCCGTGCGCATTTCAAGTTTTGGCCCGACGCTGCCCGTGCGGATGGCGGAGGATGATACGAACGTTTTTTAAACAGCAGCAACACTAAATTGACAGACCCCAACACATTCTCATCACTGCACGCAATCGCTTGCCATTCAGTCTCTTGTTCCCTCTCCTTCCCACACACACGCGCACATTCTGCTCCTAGTTCTCAGTAGCTGGCACAGGTGCACTCACAGCCAGCAACTGGACAGGTCTCATGGTGCTCAAACCAATCCTGCAAACACTTGGCGTGAGCGCCATGACGACATGTCTGACACCAACTGAACCAAACATCAAAGCCATCCAGGGTATCGCGCGCCGAGGTGGGTTCAGGTGCGCCCTTGTCCTTGGCGACGCGATGGATGTGCGCAGGATTGCCCAACCGCTGCGCGCACACGGCACAGCGTGGTAGCGGCTTGCGGCACGAGGGACATCCATGCGCCGCCGTCCTATACCACCCATGCAACATCAGGAAGAGCCAGCGTGCCGTTTCATTCCCAATTCATTTTGATCCTTGTCCCATCTGAGCAAACAGAGGCGACATGAGGTCACATGTGTCAATACCACGCACCGTTGAGAGAGAGCAGAGGTGCGATAACGAGGATCGAGCGTGTTGAGTCGCTTCGAACAGGAGCTGCACTTGAGCGTCACCTGCAAGGTAATAGACCCATGCCGCAAAGCCAAATAAGCAGATACAAACGGACATGTCCCTATATGGGTGGGTTTCGACGTACCTGGCCCTTCACCGTCCGATTAGAAAGAAGCGCGTGCAACTTGACCTCGAGGCGTGCTCGATCCATCCAGCGACGCCATTGGTCGAGCAGGCGCCGATAACTGTCATACCTGTCCTCACCAACCAAGGTGCAAGGTCACATACACACAGACAGAGCATCAGACGCACGCAAGAAGCGAAAAGGCCACAGTCATCGCGATGCCCAAGCAGAGGCGTGCATTTCACAACTGGCAAGCGCTGCTGGGTGCCCCCGTACCAGCCGACAAATCGCTGATCACTATGCAGGTTACGGGCAGCTACAGTGCCCGTGGTGCGCTGCCGCTGCACCAGCTGTAGCATGCATGCGGCGATCAAGAACACCGACTGCACGTCGCCGGTGCGATCCAAGTAGGACTGCAAGATGGTCAGACCATTCTCACTGGCTCCAGTCAACAAAAGTCCATCCAACTGGCCTGAAGCCGTGACCTCCTGCACATTGAATCGACCCGAAGGTTCAAATGCGGTGTGAGCCCACGAGGATAGCTAGGATCAGGTTTCCACCTCTCTTGAAGAGACATACCGCAGTAATGTCCTTGATGCTTTGTTCGAGAGCCTCGTCGTTCAGGTAGCGACAGGCAAAAGCCAAACGATCAGTCAAGCGCATCCCGCGCTCCCGTAGCACCTCCTGTCCAACCAAGCATTAGCATTGAGAAAAGTCGGCATGTTGATTGGCAGATGGGGTTGGCGGCAAACTATCCTTGACGCCCCGGCTGGCGATCTGGCGGCAGCACATACCGAGTAATCAGTGCCATCCGAGGTGAGAAAAGCCAGACCAGCGCGCAAATAAGGATTGGTGAGTTGTGCCTTGAGCTGTGCGCAGGTTTGACGCCAGAAACGGTTGGAGGTGGCATCTGGTTGATAGCCTGCCAACGTCATGGCGTAAGACACCAAAATAGGGTCTGACTCCAGGCCCTGCTGCTGGCGGTGGCTAGTCAGGCAGGCCATGGCACGCTCGATATTCTGACAAAACAAGGCAGTGGCAGCCGCTCGCTCAAACTCTTGCCGAGTCTCCAACCTGTCGGACATCAAAACATTGTCAACATGCACGCTTTTGCTAGATGGGAGAGACAGTAAACACCTCAGCCCAGCGGCTCGACAAAGGGTAACAAAAAAAAAAAAAAAAAAAAAAAACCAACCGCCGCAACTTGATTTCAATCTCTTCGGCATCTGTGCGCCAATTGCAAATCTATTCGGGTCGTTTAAGGCACATCGGAAGAAAGTGTCAAGGCAGTAGGCAACATCCAAGGCACTGCCAAGCTGGACGGAGGCATCTCGTCACAATCAGATGGAAAAAAATCACCTGCAGGGCGAGATTGCGTTGTGGAGTTGCATCGTGGGTGGCAACCACAATGGCTTGGTTGTAATCGACGCGAGCGCTGGTGGGCTGCAAGTTTTGCAGATGCTGGCAGACGAGGAGTCATGCGGTGAGGCGACGAGACGCAGGTGTGTGGGTACAAGCAGTGCCCCCTGCTGCAATTTAATAGAGGTTCCCCAATCTGCGTTTGGCCGTACCTCGGATGGCAGGTGCAAAGCCTGAACTACGCCAAAAAAGCTTGATGCGGCATCCTGGTAGCCCTAGAGTAACGTTGAAGACAAGGCCGAGAGTGAGGGTGATGGCATTAGGCTGTGGGGCTCGAGCTGGTGGAATCATTTCATCCGGCTGTGCCGTCACCAACAACTCACCTGTAGCCATCGCCAAAGGTCACACAACCGATCATCTTGGTCGGCCGTTATTTCGAGATTTTTGTTGACATCCAACCCATAGCCCGCATCAAGGCGATCACGCATTAGCATGCTAATATCCGAGGCCTGCAAAGCTCAGGGCATACTCGTGAGTTTGTTGTGACCTAGTTTTAAAGTGCCAAACCACACAGCACAGGCAGCTCGGCGCGAGCAATAGCACAACGGCACAATGAGGTCTTGATCTGACTCGCACCTGCGCTGCTTTGCGGTCTACGCTGCTAAGCAGCTGGCCCGGAGCGCCCCGAGACATAACCATGCCTAAGGCGCACAAAGGATCAAGTGTGGGGGTCATTGCAAGCAGTGACGAATGGGCGGTGGATGGGATGACCGAGATTTGCCTAACCTTGACAAGAGAGCGCCACGACGTTGTGGTAGGGCGCGCGCAGTCGACACAGTTGACCACTGGCTGTGATGCTCAGCATCTCGGCGGGAACGTGGGGGTTCCAGGCAAAGGCCGCCACGGGTTCGGGGGCAGAGGAAGATTGCGTCATTGTACTCATTTCCACATCCTCCTGCGCATCAGGTGCACGCAGATGGTGAGATACAAGCCGAGCGGACTGCCACACTGGGCACATCCAGGCCAAACCCAGCGGATGGCAAGAAGTGATAGGGAAAGGCTTGTATCAACAACGTACCCCGCCGGCAGCAGAGCGCTCAAGGCGCCAGTGGTAATCAGTGATGTGTACGCAGTCGCTGTCCTTGGACAGCACGCCCATCAGGCCCGGCCTGGAGGTGACAGGTGCGTGAGGCACTTGAGACTTTTGGAGACTGATGTAGGAGAGCACGCAGATAGCGAGGGAGAACATACAAGGTAGAGCACCAATCCAAGCTGATGGGGTTGGAGCAGTGGGGGCTGTGAACGGGCTTGACTGTTTTGCGTAAATCAAAAAGCTGCACTTCCTGGCCACTGATACTGATAAGTTGGTCGGGGTTGTTGGGGTTGATGCGGACGCGATTGCAGGCTTTGCGGGTGACGCGTTGCCCTTCCGAAGACGAACGCAAGTCATACAGCGAGATGCCGGCAGCATGTCTGTGACACATGGGCAAAGTACGTTGCGCGTGCGCATCAGCACTCATGTGCTTGGGGCACCAAGAAGTCAAGCGCCCCAGAATAGGAAAACCCACGTACCCGACGACGAGTTGTGCCGTCTCAAGGTTGCGCCAGGCAAGGCTAGATACGCCCTCGCCTACATTGATCTCAATCAGACCGGGCACCCGATGCAGGGCCTGGAATTGTGGTGCCCCATCATTGTCGCGAGTGCAGTGGAAATGAGGGGGAGGCCAAAAGGGGGTTGGGCGTGCAAAGGGGGGGGGGGGTGAATGGCAACCAACGTTGGAGCGACTACTGGCGTGGCGAGTCATGCTGTCAGGGTGACGGCGGCGATCATAAAGGTTGACCATGGCGGTGCTGACATCGTAGATGTACAGAGTCCCTTCGCGACTCTGACCCTTGGGATCCTTCTGAAATCCCACTACACGACGTGCGATATGGCAAACAAACCCATGTTGAGCAGGCAGGATCACTGGGCGGCTGAGAGGTAAAGCACGTGTGTGAGGCGGCGCGAGAACCCAACCGGCAAGCAAATTGGTATTCTTGGGCTGCCATTGCACATCGGTTACGACTCGCGCCAACCGAGGCACCAAGATCTTGGCTGCTCGCTTGTCACTGTCGTTGGCGGGATCCACATCCTGGAGATGGACTGCACCGACACCACGGGAAAGGCAGGCACAATGGCCAGTGAGACGGGTGTTAATCCTGCCGTCGATTCTGAGATGAATGCAGGAGCCAACGAGGAATGGGGGGCCAAGTTTGCGTACCAGTGCCGTTGTGACACCCGATGGCGAGCAGATGACTGCCTGAGCGCGGCTGCCTGAAGCGTTGATGATTGAGCTCTTTGAGCAGGCGCATTTGCAGGCAAAAAAGTATCAAGAGGCAAGCAGCAAGCACGCACCATTCAGCAACAATCTTGTGCAGGTAAACTTCGTCTGTCAGGGCACAGTCCTCCAGCGGCTGCGATTGAACGAAACGCAAGCGTGTTGAGCGTTACATTCCCGCTGCCAGCATCAACCATCGGTTTTCGCCCCTCCAGGCACACACACACGCACACAAACGCACGGACAGACGCACGGACAGACAAAAAGACAATTGCACGGACCTCCAGTGCGCCATTATATGCCCGAATACCCTTTCCCAAGGTGATGACCAGATTCGGATCCAGCGGATGCGGCCGAATCGCCGCTGCCGACGCCATCTTGCAAGACACGATCAAAATCAAAAATGGAGGGGAGAGTTGCTTTTGTGTGTGTGTGTGTGTGTCTGTGTGTGTCTGTGTGTGTGTATCTGTGTGTGTGTGTGTGTGTGTGTGTGTGTGTGTGTGTGTGTGTGTGTGTGTGTGTGTGTGTGTGTGTGTGTGTGTGTCTGTGTGTCTGTGTGTGTGTGTGTCTGTTTGTGTGTGTCTGTTTGTGTGTGTGTGTGTGTGTGTGTGTGTGTGTCTGTGTCTGTGTCTGTGTCTGTGTCTGTGTGTCTGTGTCTGTGTGTCTGTGTCTGTGTCTGTGTCTGTGTCTGTGTCTGTGTCTGTGTGTCTGTGTCTGTGTCTGTGTGTCTGTGTCTGTGTGTGTCTGTGTGTCTGTGTGTCTGTGTGGCAGGTATCGATGTATCGGTATCAGTTTCGGTGTCAACTGCTCTCTGATCCCAAGTACTTCATTGTTCACGAGATCTTGGCGAAAGAATGTATGTAAAAGGGCAACAACGCAACGAGGGCCAAGCCACAGTTAGATGTCAATTGATATGAAAACTTGCACAAAGACGGTAAACCAGCCAGACCCACTGCACTTCAACATGCGCTGTTGGAGAAGGGGATCCAGCGACAACCAGAAAAAAAAAATCAAAAACTCACGTTACAAAGGTAAGGGGATGGAGACTGTCATTATGCACCGCGCGCGGCGCGACGCTTAACAAACCATCTCGATGGCGGGAACACAGCCGCAAGACACAACAGGATGTTTACCAGTCATCGCCAAACTTGAACGAGTTGACGGCGCCAGAGTTGATGACGCCGCCGCGGTAGGAGCCACGTTTCTTCTTGGTCTTCTCGTGACGGAAGGACTTGCCCCGGGTGACCATGAGGTCGCGGCTTGCCTTGGCGCCCCAGCCATCCTGGCCAAAGGCAGCCTCATATGAGTTGTCGGCCAGCTCGTCGCGCACAACAACGTCCTCGGCAATGACGCGGCGGAACGGAGTGGAGTTGCGCGAGCGGTTGCCCTTGGAGCTGTTGGGGCGGGATGCCGCATTGCTCTTGGGAGTAGCAGCCGACTCCTCAGCCTTGCTCTTCTTGGCTTCAGGCTGAGCCTCCTCGACCTTGGCACTTCGCTTCTTGTTATCCTTTTGCTTTTTCTCCTCCTCTTCCTCGCTGGAAGAGTCGCTGTCACTGCTATCGCTGCTATCACTGCTGCCCTCCTCCTTCTTCTCCTCCTTCTCCTCCTTCTTCTCCTCCTCCTCGTCCTCGTCCTCGTCCTCGTCCGAGCTGCTGCTGTCATCGTCCGAGCTGCTCTTGGCCTCCTCCTTCTTTTCTGCCTTGTCATCATCCTCATCATCGTCATCGGAGCTCTCTTCGTCGCTGCTGCTCTCGGCCTTTGCTTCCTTCTTATCCTCCTTCTCGTCAGAGCTCTCCTCATCCGAACTCTCCGAGCTCTCCTCCTCGCTGCTGCTCTCCTCCTTCTTGGCCTTTTTGCTCTTCTTCTCCTTATCCGAGCTATCCTCATCCGAGCTATCCTCATCCGAGCTATCATCATCCGAGCTATCCTCATCCGAGCTATCCTCATCCGAGCTTTCCTCATCAGAGCTGTCCTCATCAGAGCTGTCCTCATCAGAGCTGTCCTCATCAGAGCTGTCTTCCTTCGCCTCAGCCTTCTCGGCTTTTTGAGCATTGAAAAAGCGCAAAGCCTCCTCGATGGTAACAGGCACTTCCACATCTTCCTCAACCTGGAAACCCCAGCAATCAAGCAAGCCGCGGCGTGAGCCTCCAATGCGTGGCCTCTTTGCCTCACTACCCAACTCACCAACCAACTCCGCTGATCCAAACAAGGTGACACGCGCGCTTACCTCGAGCTTGGCCCGCAGCTTCTCGCCCAGCTTCTTGTTGCGGCTCACCACATACTGCACCACCGCAGCGTCCATGACCTTGGTCGTTGGTTCCGACATGGCGTCAATTTCGTCCCCACGCGGGCAAGGAGAATCTATTGATCGTTTGCCAACCCCATCCAATGAGACCATCAAATGCTGCTCGAACCACAGCCCCTCCTTGCAACAAACACACACAGGAGAGCTCCATCTGCCATGTATCCCGGCCTTTGAAACCATCCCCTGCCCGTTCCTTCCCCCCCCAAGACCTCCGCAAAGCATTCGGACGGGCGCCCTCTGCGAATCATCTCACCTCGTGCCTTTGACTTAAACTGCTCGCTCTCTCTCTCTCTCTCTCTCTCTCTCTCTCTCTCTCTCTCTCTCTCTCTCTCTCTCTCTCTCTCTGTGCGTTCTCTCTCTCTCTCTCTCTCACTCACACGTGGGGCAACACACACACATGAAAAAGATGACAATGTGGTTCGTCATGAATTATGTCTGACATTTAGTGCTGGACTGCTTTTGACGTTTGTTGGGAACGGCTTTGGGCCGTCATTCTCCTTTCAGGCACACACACACACACGGCACAGCCGGGGGAGCGGGGACCGTGCCGCTGGTCGTGCATTTGAAAAACAATTACCAAATGCCTATGTTGGTGGTTTAAACGATACCTGGCGTCCAAAGCTGCCAGCCGGGTTTGCGGGAGATAGCGCGAGGGCTGTGCAGCAAAGATGACCGAGTTTGGATATGATCCCAGTCGCATCGGCACGTCCGAGACAGCTGCCCAGGTGAGCATACATTGTGCGTCGTCCAAGCCTCCCTACACACCTCACCGCTTCCTTGCTTTACCTTTGCCCCCCTTCTCCCCTGCTGCTGCAGCTCTTGGCCAGGGTCAACCGCATCAATTTTGGCGATTTGGGGCTACACACGACCCGCCCGCTACACTCGGGCGACCTTTTGGCGCTGAGCGCAGAGGACACACGCAATCAACCCTGGATTTTCAAACTGGCACTCTCCATCTTATGCGAACACCTCATGCCGACCAGCTGTGGTGGCCGAGAAAGCAGTGCACACCTCATCATTTGTGCCCATACTTTCCCCGCCTTTGAGTTTTCCGACTTGCTGCTCGCTGCCATTCACGAAGGTGCCGCTGAGTACGGTGCACCGAGCGACGCTGCCACCGTGCTTGGCTGGCATCGAGCCGCCATGAATCGCATCGTGGTTACGCATTGCCTCTCCCTCACTGAGGTGCTGGCCTTGGCACGGCAAATCAGTGCCCGGGACACCTCCCTGGTCCTCCTGCTTGGCCTCGACGCCATCTCGGCCTCACACAAGACCGTGCGCCGTCATGTGGCAGCTGTCACCGCACTACACCAGCTGCACCGATCTGTCGCACGCACTGGTGGCCTCTTGGCTTTTGCTGCGCATCGCGAGCTGGTGCGCGTCGCCCTAAGCACGCTCAAGGAGCAAGGGACTCACGCGCGACTCAGCTTGACGGCACGTCATGGCAAGCTCTTAACGGAAATCTTTGGGCCAGGCCACACCCGCGCAGCCCTCCCGCTATCAGCTCGCGAGTCGGGTCGCCTATATGTGTCGACCAACTCTTCCCTGGGTGGGAGCTCGAGCTAAGCCGATGCAGACCCAAGCGCCGTTGTCGTAGGGGTTGTTTGCTTTTGTTTTTGTTTTTGTTTTGTTCTTTTTGTTCTGAGCTGCTGCGCAGCCTGATACGGCTGACACTGGTAATGACGCATCCTTGTCGATGACTGCCGAGCATGAACGATCTGATGCCGTTTTCCTATTGTGCCCGCCCTGCCCCTTGCTCATGCAGGCCGGGCAAGCTAATCGACTGAGTTTGTTGTCCCCCAATGATGTTGACCAAAGGCAGAGCGTGCTTTCTTATGGGAATCGAATAAGTTAGCAACCCTCACCATCAGCGCAAGCTAGTTGGGCGGTGCGTGCACCAAGTGAACGTGCTGCGATGCAGCATCCAATGACACGCGGGCCAACGCCCGAACCGCTTGGCGGTCTGCAATGTCAGGTGCCCACTGGGCATGTTGGGCTTCAATCCAGGTCTGATAAAGCTGGTCGTATCCATATCTATTTGCACCACAACACCACGCACAAGCGCTTGAGATGGATGTAGCGTGGTAGATGACAGCCGAGCTCAAACGTGCATTTCGCTTCAGTTGATTCACATACAAGCACGCCCTTTTCTCTCTCCCTCTCTCATTTTTCCGTGACCTCTGCTTGTCTCTCTGTTCACTCTTCCATGCGTGGCCACCACCGGTCACCAACCTGGCCAGCTGGGCATGATAATTGTGAAGCACCCACTCAATATCCTCCAGCTTGAAACGTTGAAAGCCAAGACCAATTGAGTGCTTGGTGCGTGTCTCAGTCCCGCTCTGCTTGCGGCGATACGTGTTGAGGCGGTCCATCTGCGCCACCCGCAGCAGCGCCGACTCTGACCACGGAGCCATTAGTACAGGCATGTGCGGTCAAGGTCTCATCCCTCCATGACGTGTGAAGACAACGGAGCAAGGGAAAAGCAACCATGATACCTTGCAGCCCGTAGTAGGTCCAGAGACCAGCATGATGCAGGAGCTTGCGTAGCACTGCGATCGGGTCCTGCAAGAGGTCTTCATATCTGTAGATGAAACGCCCGCCATGCTGCTGCCACCAAAAGTCGTGGTGGAGGCTCCAGATGTCCATAAACGCGCGCAGCTCCTGTTAGAAAGGGACCATTGAGGAGCTGCAGTTGCACCGGCGTGTATTGTGGTGATTGTCATGAGGGGAAAAGACTGACCGTGTATGGCTGAGCGTGGGCCCCTTCGTGAGCTTGGGTGTACCGAAGCTGGGGGCGGGGAGCGACAGCGTGAGTTGCATCAACTCATTCTGTGGTCTCTGACTGCAGAGTACATGACACTCACCCAGGCCTCAAAATTATCCAGGGGATTGCGAACCGCCACAAGTGCATAATGAACGTCTTGCACATCCGATTGGCCAGCACGCAAGTGCGTCAAAACGTCGTCGGGAGATGCAAACGGAAAATGGGACTGCAGGGCAAGCGCAAAGACATCGACATGGGTCAGGCATTGCTCAATTTGGTGTCTCACCACCAGGCACCTACAGGGAGGGGCCCCAGGATTTGGTTACATATTGCCGAATCACCCACCTTGATCACGGCCGCATCGAAAGGGCTGGCGGGTTGCACCAAGGTGCAGTCTTGAAGCCAGCCACAGGCTGGGACAAAAGAGCCATGTCCCGAGGATTTAGCGCCCGGCTCTTCAAAGACGCTCTCCGTGGCCACTCCCGTCGAGGCTTCGAGCATGCCACGCATCCAGCCGTTGCCTGACCGAGCAATGGAAGCGAGCACGAGGCGGTACTGTTGACCCGCTCCTACTACGACCTGCGCCACGCAGATGAGAATGTGCTGAGGCACGGGTGCAGGCCAACACGGTGACGTCGAATCGTCACCAACCTCAAGCGTTCCAGCAGCCAAGATCTCCGGTTGATTTGCCCGGTGCTGCTTGACATCCGATGCAAGCCGTCAGGGTCAGCGAGGCGCATTTGCATGCACGCAGGCAGATGAGCACAGAACAACCTTACCCCTCCGCGCGACGGCGGCTCTGCTGCCGGTTGGTTGAGCATGAGGAGCACCAGGACACACAAAAGCACGCCTGTCAAGGACAGGGCCCACCGCATCCGCTGGGCCAACATCGCTCACGATGCCCCCCCGCCCGCTTTTAAAACACGCAAAATTTAATACTCCCGATTAAATTTTGACTGAAAATTAAATTTTGTTTTTTGCTTTTTCTGTTTTCAAGTCAGTTGTGTGCTGTTCAAAAATCTCTCTCTCTCTCTCTCTCTCTCTCTCGCTCTCACCTCCCAAACCTCTCAAACCTCTCAAACCTCTCAAACACGTATCTAACGTGCGTTGAATGGCGAATGAATGTGTAAAGGCACTTGTGCTGACTGCATACGGGCAGCTGGGCCGTGGACTTGTACTTGGTTGTTTGCAGGCCTAGCACGCGGAGGTAGGGTTGTCAATTCCGATATCAAGGATGCTCGATATGCTACTCGGAAATGCTTATTCTCGGCTCTACATCGTGACCAGATAACTTGGACAGATGGGGCCAAAGCGCACTCAGTCGGTACGGGCAAGACCACATTCGGCCATGCGCTGGTCAATAAAGTCATAAAAGTCACTGTGTTCGGCCATGCATGCCTGGTAGCGAGCGTCGGAGGGTACTTTTCGGGCTTGCTCCGCCATGCGGGCGATGAGCAGGTGGGCGAGATTTTTGACGCCCACGTTGATGGCGCAGGCCGGGAGTGCGTCAAATTTGGCGTCGATGCGAGCGGTAAATTGGACAAAGGTACCCGAGCGGCGGTCCATATCGGCATTAATCTCGGCCGGGGTCAGAAGAAAGGCCGTGTGGGTGACTTCGAGGGGAACGGCGCCGGCGTCGGCAGCATCCTGTGGGATAGCTAGGTCAGTGCGACCGAAACGCTGGCGGAGGGCCTCGAGGTGCGTATCGTCGTTGACCGAGTTCATCATGATGACAATCTGACGGCGCGCTTCCGTGGGCTCCATGCAATCGACGCCGTCAACAAACAAGTCACCACAACGGTTGCTAAAGGGCCAAGGAAGGCGCACCCGCATGTGTGTCCAGAGCTTGGTGCGATGGAGGTTGTAGACGACGCGGGACTCGGCGACGCCGAGAGAGAAGGCAGAAGGGAGCCATTCGGGGTGGTACTCAACTTCATATAAGACGGCCATGATCTGTCGCAGGGGCTCATCAATCCAGCCCTCAACGCGGACGCAGACAAATGGGCTGTCATCCTCCAGGCGGTAGTAGGTCGTACTGTTGTCGTCCTGACGCTGGAGGGTCCAAGCCTCGACGGCGTCCAGGTCTTCGCGAACGTGAAGCACGGCCTCGGCCGTAGCCCGCATGACGCGAATGTCGTGATTGGTGTTAATCTCTGCCAACATATCAGCTGCTTCACCCGCGGCCACGTCGTCTTCGTCTGATACGCGGCACGTGTTTTCGGGAGTGATGAGCTGGGCTTCGAGGGTACATAGCGCCCGGTAAGCCAGGAGCAGCTTGTCCTGCTGGCAAAGCGTCTTGATGGCGTCCAGTTGTTCGCGGAAGGAGGTCGCATCTGCGGCTGTCGCCGCATCTGCAGCGGCAGGCGGAGATGATGCCATGATTGCCCTCTGTTGGATATCAATGACTGGTTCAGCAGAAGCAGCAGCAGTAGCCCCGGCAGTGTCAGGCCCGGCAGTGCCAGCCCCGGCAGTGTCAGTCCCCTGGCAGGAGCCACCTGCAGCAGCAGCGGGAGCAGCTTGCGAGTGGAAAAAAAGGCGTCGAGAAAGCAGGCAAAAAAGGCAGTAGCACGAGCGGGAAGCAACAAACATAAAAAAACAGGAACGCAATCAACAGGAGACCCAGCCGGCGGCGAGGCGAGGCAGCAACAGCACACAGGGAGCACAGGAGGCGGCGCCGCGGCAGCGGGACCAGCAGCTCGTTGGAGGCGACTTGTTCCGGGCGGATTTCAATTACAAATTAAGAGGATATCTGAGTGTTCCCTAATTTCAACGGGAAATTGTCAGCTCAAATGGTTATCTGACAAAGTGTCCTTAAAATATGCAACCGGAACTGTCCCTTCGAGGCCACACTGAATCAGGTCTCACACTCAAAATGTCAGCAATTCTACCCTTGCTTGGGGCACTGGTCAGTCAGTGTGCACCTTTACCACACGTGCATTATACTTGTTGGGCCATCAGCCGTAGCGTCCGCTCTTGCAGCAACACACACACACACACACACACACACACACACACACACACACACACACACAGAAATCCTCTCTCTCGAGTTCGGTTGCTACGGACAGCGGGAATGCTACATAGTACATGTAGTATGCTGCTAGTCGTGCAGGGCGCGTGCTTTGACAGTGAGTGATAGGGCGCTAGTGAGTTTTTTTTTATATATTTTTCTCGGTGGTGGCAGAGTCGGAAGCCCCTGGTTGGTGGTGCTTTGCGGCATGGCATGGTGAAGGGAGGGAAGGGTTGGCATGATAGAAGAGAGCGTCATGATCCATTCTCATTCGCTGGTGGTGCTGCGCCGACAACATCTAGCTCGCAGGGGGATCGAGCACCCTCGGGTCTCTGCGGATCGTTGTGCACACTCCTTCCGCCGCGCTCAGTGTATGTCTCCGTTTGGGGCCCATGACTTTAGCAACCAAATCCCCACCTCCGCCCTCGCTCCCCCACCTTCTCCCGAATTGGTTGGGGCCATGAATCATAACCAGCGCACCCCCTCGCCACACAACTGCCCCCTCTTGTCCGCCCTTACCTCAATTCGCTCCCATCCCATCTCCTTATCAACCATCTTATTCAAACTCTGCTCGACTCAATCGGGGGCCTGCCTGCCTCAGTCTGCCTCAGCGCCCCGCCACCGCTGACCAGGTGACTAGCAACTACGCTATCGACCCACCTTTGCCTATCATTTCACCCCGCCAGGCTCCTCTTCTCCATCTGGCCCCGTTTACACCTTTCAGCGACGGACAACATCATTTCCCCCCAGCCCTCTGCCCACACACCCTTTGACATCGTCCTCCGTTCACACACACACTCTCTCTCTCTCTCTCTCTCTCTCTCTCTCTCTCTCTCTCTCTCTCTCTCTCTCTCTCTCTCTCTCTCCCCCTTTTCTCCCCTTTGCACCTTGACGGCTCTACATAATACCACTTGTCCCTTAACAACAGTCACAGCAACGTAGCTCGCTTTTCGACCTCGGCGCCGCTTTGGCCGCCAATATCCCGAGTGAACGGCACCGCCTATCATGTTCCGCATGACGAGCACCGAATCCCCGGGGCCAGCCTCCCACAGTGCTGCTGATTTCGGTTGGTCATCAAGTCCTGTCGCTCTGCTCCTTTTGCCTTGCCTGCCCGGTGCGCTCACCCTGCCGTTTCAATGCAATCCCGATTCCAGGCAAGACTTCAACCATCAAAAGCTCCCCGGCCTTTTCCATCAAGGGCCGGCACCCGAGCGCAACGACTCGCATCGGCCCCGGTGAGTGGACCCCCTTGCCCGCCGCGGCCCCACTTCCCCCAAACGCTGTCACTCGATGACAGCCGTCAAGCACTCATGCCGTGCCTATGCAATGACAGGCCCCGGTGATCACCACACCGAAAATGGCACCAATGCCATCTCCTCCCAGCATCGCTCTCCTGCCTGGACCCTCCAAGGCCGCGCCAAGGAATCCACGTTAGCCCCTCACATTCTCCGCCTTGAAGCTCACACACATGTCCTTTGATGCAAGGCCTCACCGCCATCTCCGTTTTGTTTTTGGTTTTTTAGCCTCGAGCAAAGCCCCGGCCCCGCTGCTTTTGATGGCATCAACACCACCATTCGGTTGGTGCCCTCCCTTGATGCTTTGCCCCTACACCCCACTCTTCTTCTTCTTTTTTTCTTCCTTTCCATTTGACTGACGCAAGTGTTGAGACAAATGAACACTCACCCTCGGTGCCGTCTTCCAGCAAACCACCTGCGTTTACCATGTCGAGCCGTCATAAAGACTTGAGTGAAGACCGCCACGGTCCAGCCCCCAACGCCTACAATGCAAATGGTAATTGTCCTTGTCACCGTACCCGAGTTTGCTCGAAAACAATGCCTCATGCGCATGGGATGTCCATCTCCTCTCTGGCATTCATCAGACCATTCTGGGACCAAAACAGCCCCCGCATTCTCGATCAAAGGCCGCCATAATGACAATCTGTACGTCGTCGTCAACTCCCGTTCGATTTTCATCGCGCGTATACCTGCTCCCTTAGCACCATCCACTTTGCCTCACCCTGCGGCCTCACCCTGCGACACGTCCTCCAGCTCCAACATTGGCCCTGGCCCCGGCGCTCTTGATGTCACTCGCAGCCTGGATTATAGCAGCGCGGTACGATCATTGCTTACAACCAGTGTGCAGTTGCTGTTCTCAAGATTCATTCATAATTCTCATCTCCATATTTTCTCTTCCTGTTGGCTGCATATAGGTCAAAGGCACCCCTTCCTTTTCCATGAGCGGCCGTGCCAAGGACCTCGCGAGCAGCAACGCGCCAGGCCCAGGTGCATACAACAGCGAGGACGCAGCCCGCTACAAGAAGGCGCCCGCCTTTTCCATGAGTGGCCGTGCCAAGGAGGATGCTGCTCGCCTGGGCCCGGGCCCTGGCGCCTACACTACCCCGGATGCACTCTCCAAGCTGAGCGCCTCCATCAAGGGCCGTCCCAAGTCATCGCTCTCCACCGATTCGCCCGGCCCCGCCTACAACGTGGACTATGGCAAGACGGTGAAGAAGTCGCCTGCGTTTAGCATGACAGGCCGGGCTCGGGACCAGCGGAACGACCAGGCGCCTGGACCAGGCACCTATGCAGTGGCCGCCAACCCAAACCACAAGAAGCCCCCTGCGTTCTCCATGAGCGGGCGCAACAAGGAGCTCATGGATGCTTCGGGCCCGGGGCCGGGAGCGTACAACACACCGGATGCGCTGTCCAAGCGTGGCGCTTCGATCAAGGGCCGGCATGAGAAGAAGTCGAACAACCACTCACCAGGACCGGCATATAGCGTGGACATTTCCAAGACGACCAAGGGTGCGCCTTCGTTCTCGATGGGTGGTCGCACCAAGGATCTCGCAAGCAGCAACGCGCCAGGCCCAGGTGCATACAACAGCGAGGACGCAGCCCGCTACAAGAAGGCGCCCGCCTTTTCCATGAGTGGTCGCGCCAAGGAGGATGCTGCTCGCCTGGGCCCGGGCCCTGGCGCCTACACTACCCCGGATGCACTCTCCAAGCTGAGCGCCTCCATCAAGGGCCGTCCCAAGTCATCGCTCTCCACCGATTCGCCCGGCCCCGCTACAACGTGGACTATGGCAAGACGGTGAAGAAGTCGCCTGCGTTTAGCATGACAGGCCGGGCTCGGGACCAGCGGAACGACCAGGCGCCTGGACCAGGCACCTATGCAGTGGCCGCCAACCCAAACCACAAGAAGCCCCCTGCGTTCTCCATGAGCGGGCGCAACAAGGAGCTCATGGATGCTTCGGGCCCGGGGCCGGGAGCGTACAACACACCGGATGCGCTGTCCAAGCGTGGCGCTTCGATCAAGGGCCGGCATGAGGAGAAGTCGAACAACCACTCACCAGGACCGGCATATAGCGTGGACATTTCCAAGACGACCAAGGGTGCGCCTTCGTTCTCGATGGGTGGTCGCACCAAGGATCTCGCAAGCAGCAACGCGCCAGGTACGACATAAAAGGCCCTGCTTTGTTGCCCTATCCTGCCCTTTGTCATGGTAGACGCAATAATATGCTCATGGTTGTATGCCTGGGTCTCATTTTATTTCCTGTCTTTGACTTTTCATAGGACCGGGACAGTACTCGGTTCGCGATGCTAGCAGCGGGGCCATTTCATTCGGTGTCCGTTATCCAGACAAGGTGGGCATTTTGCCCGAGTAGCAGCGTTGCTCGACGAATTGTCTGACGCGATATAGCTCGGCTTGTCGTGCCGTCGGCTGACTTGTTTCTTAGTTTCTTTTTTAAAAGTGCTGCCATCTTGCAGTGCCAGTGATGTGTTGCCTGTGAATGTGTACTTTCCCTCCCCCTTTTTACTGACCTGTGAAGCGCCTCTTTGTCCAACTGGCTTGCCACTCTTGTTCTCGACCCCGACAACTCCAGCCCAACACAGATACATGGTGTCTGTTGTAACCCCTTAGTCTACGCGCCGTTTTCATGGGTATGGGGATTG